AAGGAAGGTTATTTTTAGACTGCCTTTTTACTGGATATGGAAAGTGGATAGCATAGAGAGAAAATAAGAACAAATGCATTATGGAGAAATTCTGCCATAATGCCAAAAAAAAGTTCATCATGCTAGACTGGGGTCAGCAATCTTATAGCTGTGGGTGGCAAACCAATGTACCAATATTACTCAGGGTGCCACACAGTAAAAAATATTTGAAATAATCTGATTTCCATGCCAATGCATGTAGAGTTACTGATTACAGGTCAAAAATACAGATTTAGAGTTTTATTATACATTAATTATGCATCATTTAAAGATATTAACATAATAATAAGCAACATAAAATATAACTATTCCTTCAACATGAATAAAAAAAATCAAAATTCCACACATATTGTATCCCTGCAAAGCTCCACTTAATATTGTAATTTCTGAAGTATAGTTTATGACTTTCAATTCAATACATTATTCAGAATGTTTAGCTGTTAAATAGCTTCTTTTTGTAGACAAAAAATACATTTCATACTAGAAAAAAAATTGATTCACATATATTTATGCATAACCAAATTTAAAAAGCAGAGCTCATGCAATTTTCTTTAAATAAATAAACTGCTTCATCAATAACAAACAGCAATTTAAAATAGCTGCTGATTTATCGATAGAGTTATCTTCCAGATTCAAAAGTTTCGCTTTTAATAATTCTGAAGATTTTTTTCATGATGCAGCAAGGAATGATGTTTCACTTTAAAAGTTATTACACATTATTTTTTTTACTTGAATTGAATGTTTAATGGAAAGAATGATGCATTTAAACAGAATTTTTTTTACATAAGTCTCACAAACCACATGCAAGCAAATTCAGCTGAATCATTTTATGAGAAAGAATGGAAAGTAAGAAATAGCCTTTAAACAAAACGGCATGAGGCATAGAAAGGAGAGAGTATATCAACTATCTCATAACCTAGTAGAGTGGTATAGAGTGCCACTGAGCGTACTCCAGGTTGCTGAACCCTGTGTTAGACTGTATGTGACAAGGAAGAATAATAAAAAATTATCCAATGAATTTTGGGAAACTATGTCTCATCCCTTGTATTTACAGGGAATTGTATTATCAAACTACAACCTTTCAGATCTTTGGCTATACTTTCTTAATGGAAACGGATACATAAGCTTTGATGGTGTCAAAATGATAAAGAACTTTCACATTAAAACAAATTTTAGCTGATAAGCAAGAATAATTTTTTTTTCTTTTAAAAAATATTTTCCCTAACACCTATTAAATTTTATAATACACTGAGGCAAGAGAAAGTCTAAAATCCTTATAGAATCAACATAAACTACTAAACAATTTTTGCCAAAAATGAGCTTCAAACTTATGATCTATCAACTTATTACTCAAAATATTTTGTCCCCTTTCTTTTTTATAGAAAAATTAAAATTTTTGGTTTTAAAAAATAAGGTACAGTTAAGGGATATGTATATCTTACCAGAATTAGGTCCTCTAATTTTCAGATATAATCCAAGATTTTTCTTAGCAAAAACTATCCATTTAACCAACGGAGCAGTAACATTCATTACTATCCAACCATTCATATTGCCTGATATAACAAATTCATCAGCAAGTTCCAAAATGTTTGTGCTGTTAAGATAAAAACATATGTATATAAACAATCTAATTATTACATAATAAGTTGTTATAATAATGAAATAAAATTAACACCATGGAACAAAGTTAGGATTATACAAATATGAATGAAACAATAAATGCAAGAACAATATGTGCAACAGATACTTGCATATTAGCTCACTAACCAGAAAATTGGTGAAGATATTGAAAAATTTGAACCAAAATTCCATGACGATTTTGCAAAACTTATAAACAAGGTTATAGCATTTGATGAAAGTTTTTGATATGGTTAAAATAGTTGACAGGCTAATATATTAGAATCATAAAAAAAATTTAGATAAGTCTTATATTTTAATTTTTAAGAATAAATTCTATTAAAAAGGCTTTTTCTGTTTGAATTTTTAAAAAAAAATACTTTAAATCTTCTCATTTATAAACTTTTCAGAAATTTTTTTGTTTAAACAAAAATATCTCTTTACAATGCAACATCTTGTGTATTATATATATACAATCTATATATTTTCAATAGATATAATTAATTTCAAAAAATAAGAAATAATTTTCTCTCACAACTAAACAGATTTTACAACAAAGATCAATCCTTTTAAATCAGTTTTCAAAATATTTCTGGTATTTTCATAAAAGATAAAACACATTCTATAAAAATTATATAAATTAAACAGTATATAAAAAATTAATGCTAAAAAGAAATAATTCTGTTAAATAATTCTAATAAATTAAATAATTCTGTTTCAAACAGAAATGAAGCAAAATCAGCAAATCTAATTATTTATTAAAATCTTTAGTATCAAAACAAAATATATATGCCAATATATAATAAAATCTTTTCACTACATAAATGTAAAAAATAACTTTGAATGCATTGTAAGATATAAATCGATAATACTATTTGGTAACAGGAGAAAATAAGCACAGATTTGTTATCTGTAATACTTCTAAAAAACTCACTTGGGTGCATCATCTTCAGCAACAGAATATAAGCTTAAAGTATACTTGAGATTCTTCTTTGATATGCGTTTTGATGCATTACGATAAATCCTTAACTCAGCTTTTACGATTTCTTCTTCAGGAGAAATCTCGCTAACATCAAACCAATACCTCTTATCTCGCTCGTGTCTCAAATGAGGATAATATCGATGAACTAAAAAATTAAATAAGATAAATTTTATTGAAAACAGATAATTATGAAATAGAAAACATATTTGTCTAAAACATTTTTATGACTTTCATTGTATTAAAATTTAGACTTGGTAAAATGAAATTTATGAATGAGTTGAAAAATTGATATTAGCTTCCAAGAATTTGGTTTCATTTTAAGATTTCACCAGGAATGCAGTTATTTATTATTTCTTTCAACATAACAGATTACTCAGCAAAATTATAGATAAACTGTAAAAAGTTAATTGTAGTAAATATATTTTTTTTTAATTTATAATTGTGCTTTACCAGAAAGCAAATTTAAGTTAATATTACCCAAAACTAATTTTTTCATTTAACTTATTTGCTTGTGAAACACAAAAAAATTTGCCACACACGAGTGTGTTTAAAACTTAAAGATTCTTTTAACATATTACAAGCTAAAGATAGTCAAGAGCAAACAATAGGCCTCATTATAATTTTATACTTATTCATTCACAGATTTAAAATTCCCTTCTTCAGAACTTTAGGAAAAAATCCAGTATTCTAACAGACAAGAACAAGCAAATAAAATTTTCTATCACAAATCTTGCTTAAAAATACCTCTACAGAATGTTGGTTATGTAAGCATAACGAATTTGTCACAGTAATCGTAGAGATAACTCCTATCTAGCTTTAATATAAAAGATGGGTCTCACAGAAAAAAAACAGAAACCAAACTTCAGCTTAACACAACAAAAAATGCTTAAAAAATCAATATATTTAAAAGTATTCATATGATCATGAACGATGTGCTGCCAACGTTCTTCTAATTAACTCTTTCCCTGGCAGCAGGGGGTATTTAAATCCTACTGTGGTCTGGCAGGCAATTTAACGATTAAATGGCTGAAAAATTAATGGTCAAAGCGTGAAAACACGCCATTGCCAGGTAAGAGTTGGATTTGCCTCGGCGTGTTATCACGTCTACGCCAGGGAAAGAGTTAACATTCAATGCTTAGCATTTTACTATAGACCTATTTCCTCAAATCAAATGCCCCAATATAAAGTTGACAGAGGGAAAAGTGTTCCCACTGATGTTCAATCACAACAAAAAGACTAAATAAGTATAAAAACTTTTCAACTTAGGCAAAATTGTTCAACGGCAAAATACGAAAGTACCTAAAATTCATATTAATCAAGTCCTTACAAATAATGAGCCACAAAGAAAATGAGAGAATTTAAAAAGTTTTTCAGGATTGATTGGTATTGATCAATCAAACTGCAGAAAGAAAATAAATAGTAATAAAATTTAATGTAGCAAATCTAAATAGAACTTAATAAAAACAGAATTTGAAATTTACTTAAGGTACTTACTGTTGTGTACATAGTACATGTTTTTTTATGTTAAAATAATCTAATCACTTACAGTAGAACACATGTCTCAAAATTAAGCAATGTTCAATGAATAGTAAGACACTGTAAGAATCCGATTTTGTGGCCCTGGGTCCCTATGAAAAAGTAGGCCCTCTTGCCATTCTTTTAAATAGAAAGTATGCAAAAATATTATTTCCATACCAAGTATGATTCACAATGAATGAAAAATTTAATGAGAAGGGAAACCAATGAATAAAACTTCGTTGAAAATCATTTGCTCAAAGACCAGAACAGCTAATAAAATACAAATCAACATTGTTTAAAAGACACTAAATAATTAAAAGGAAAAGGACAAAGATAAATAAGGAATTAATCTGAGCAACAGGATTACATTTTCTTAGAGTTCATTTAAGTCAACTGTAACTCTGACAAGAAGAGTTCTTAATTATAAAGCCTTTCTTGTTAAAAAAAAAATATGAAAAAGTACACAACCAAATTTTATAATAGATCCTTACAAGAAATAAATAGTTTAAACTAAAAAAGTACCAATAAATTAATTTATATTCAAGCAATCAATAAAATACAACTTCCCCCAATATGAGTAATCTATATAAATAACACGTAATGTAAAAAAAATTTTTTTAGTCAATTCCTACTTAGGTCAACAAAGAAAAATTTATTTTAATTATTTTTTATTAAATAATTACAATTAATATAAATATGTATATACATATGACAATCACAATATTAAGTGGCAAAATAGAAAGCGATTTTCCTTGCAATTTTCCATTTTCCTTTCTATATATAGTGTTGGACTATTATTCTTGTTTGTTACTAGTCATTCATTCATAAATACTATTCTGATAAATTAGGTAGGATTCGAACCCACAACCTTAGGATTATAAGTCCAATGCACAACCCACTGCGCTACAGGGACACAACGAGCGATTTTCCTTTATATATGGTGTTAAACTTAATAAATAATAAGCAAAAAAATAGTTTAACTAATGAATTAATATTTGAAAAAAACTGTATTAACATCAAGTGTCATCCACTACAAGTTTAAAAAATGTATTTAAACTTGAATGGATGAATAGAAAGTATTTTATTAATGATTGAAAATTAGAACAATATATATATAGGGAGATTGTGAACTAATAGTAAGAATTGAAAAACTAATGTTTGTCTGTATGTCTCTTATACCTTCCTAAACTGTTTATCTGATTGTAATGAAACTTTGGGGAATAGTTGAATGCATGCCCAGGAAGGCTTCTGAATTAGTAAAATTGACTCCTAAGGGGTGTTGCGAGGGTTTAACTATCCCCCAAGCATTAGATATATTTATTCCCGTTTTTAAACTATTAGACCTACAAACTTGAAATTTGGTGGGCATGTTCCTTTTAAGAATTAGACATCCACTTCAAAAAGGAGGGTTTGGAGAAAAACTAATCCTAAGGGGCAATGCGGGGGCTTAAGCAGTGTTATAAATATTACCATTTTTGAACTATTGGACCTACAAATTTAAAATTTAGTAGGCCTGTTCCATATATAAAGTTGAGATTCGGTACACAAGGGATTTTACAAAAATGGAACCCTAAAGGGTGTCACAAGGGCTTAAGAGGTGTTATATATAAATATTTCTGAAGTAAAAACTATTAGACTTCTACATGCAAGAAATTTGGTGGGCCAGTTTCCTTCATGTTGTAGAGATTCGTTACAAAAAGTGCTTTGAGAATTGATCCAAAAGGTCGTTGCGAGGGTTCCAGAGATAAATGTTACTGTTTTGAACTCTTAAATGTACAGTCTTGAAATTTCGTTGGCAAGTTTTTTGTTGTTGAATATAGATCCGCTAAGAACGGATTTTACGGAAATTGACTCCTATTGGAAGGGGGAGGGGAGGGAGATGATGGAACTCATTTATAAAAAATATTTCGTTATCAAACTACTAGTTAGCGTAATGAAACTTAGTATGCATGTTACTTTTGTTGATTGGAAATTCGCTAAGAAAGAATTTTACAGAAATTGACTCCGATGGGGGGCAGAGGGGGGGGGGGATCTTTTGCAGCATATTGATAAAAAGTACCCAATTTTGAACTCCTAGACCTACAGTAATGAAATTTGGTATGTATGTATCTGTTGTTGAATGGGTCTTTCAGAAATAGACTCTCTAAGGTGGTTACTGGATCTTATAGATACCGTAATTTCGCACGTATAGTCCGCACCATCGTATAGTCCTCAGACACGATTTTAAATAAAATTTTTTTTTTCAAAAATCGTCAGATAGTCCGCATCACCGGATGGTCCGCGGACTATACGTCCGAAATTACGTTATTTTAATACGGCAATATTAATGTATTTTAGAAACAAAGAACTAAGTATAAATAGAAACAAAGTACTTCCTTACTAATATACCTTCAGAAATAAAATGCTAAATACAAATAAAAAACAGTGCTTACTAATTAATCATATATTAATTAATCACACATTCTACTACATTAACGAAAACCTTCAAAGTCCGATTCGTCGGTATCAGAATTAAACAGTTCTAATATATTTTCGGGAAGAGTGTCCGAAAGTTCATTTTCAGCATCACTATCTTCACTGTCAGTGATTTCCTCGCTTTCACTAACAATCCCGGCTTTCATAAATCCCGATCATCGGCAGTTCACGACAGCGTGTTTTTTAAATTTCAACAATTTTAACCGTGAACAACCAGCGTATTATCCGCACTGGTGGATAGTCCGCAGCTTCAAAAATTCGCATTTTAAACACAGATAGTCCGCGGACTATACGCGCAAAATTACGGTAAAAAATTTCAGTTTTTGATCTATTAGATTTAGACTTAAAGTTTGGCAAGCATGTTTATTTTATTAAGTAGATTTAGTAAAAATGGGTTTCATAGAAATCCACTTGGCAAGAGAGTAAAAGGTTATTCTACTAAATTTTAGAAATTAGAAAATTATTTGGGAGTTCTGTCCTTTTCAAATCCAGCATTATTTGAATATTTTGCAATACAATCAAATTCTTAATGCTAAGATATCAATAATTTATTATAAACAATATGTATTTACATAACATGAAATATCCAGTAAAGGAGGGGGAGGAGAATGGCTGGCGATTTTAATAAAACCGCATGCGAGACAAAATTGATAATATTTTTACTTTACATAAAAATAGTCCAGCCAACAAATGAGTACATAATTTTTTACAATTTTATTTTTAGAGAGAACTTTTAATCCAAATATTTATAAAATTATATTAAGGTAATTAGTACTCCTAACCCCACATTCAGGCCCCAACTGTAACAATAATTAATGAGGTTCCTCATAAATAAATTATATTACCCTCACATCACAATTCAGATAAAAATACAGAGTAGAAAGAAATTTAAAATTGCATAATATTTAAGTTACATTTAAAATTAAGTTATTCTAATGAAAACATAGATTATCCACAGGGCAAGTATAGCTGGGAGAAGTTGAAAAAGCTTGGAAGATGTAGCAATGCCAATGGTCTCTAGGGATTGCAATATTGAACCAAAAGTTCAATACCAGTATTCGGTATTTCTTAGAACTTAATACCGGGATACTGGTTTTAATACCGGTATTAGAAATTTTAGAAAAGAAAGAAAACACAGGTGTTTCTTTGTTTTACTTGCTAGTTTTATTAGAAATTGTAAATATCACATGAAATAATTTGTAACTTATAAATTATAACAATATATAAAGAATCACAAAAAAAATAAAGGAACATCTTATTTATTTAAATCACAAAAAAAGTGCAAATATCACTATTCAATCTGTGGTACTATTACAAATTTTTGAAATGTTCTTAATGTTCTAAAAGTTAAATGTTTGAACAGTGATCTTAAAAAACATAATGCATCAATTGTACTGTCATTAAGCCTGGAATATAATTTTGTGCAAAAATTACCAGATGTTGAAAATGCTCCTTTGTCATCTACGTACCTATTAGCAATGCGCAATATATACTTTTTCAAAGTATTTACTTCTAAATCCCTCATCTTCAAAAACATCAATTTCTCATCGGATGATTTTGGATATAAACGATTTCTGTACTGTATTTTAGTTTGTTGAAATTTGTTAAGTTATCGATAATTCTAATTTTTGTTCAAGAGATAGATCCTTTTCACTTTTGACATTAGTGTCATCATCATCTTCGATAATTGTACCGAATTCTTCTGTATGTGGATTGATTTGTGAGTAAAAGATTTTAAGAAAATTTACTATAAACTTGATCAAATTTGATTTGGTTAGTCTCTTTTCTTCTTAACTCTAGAACATTTTTTACTTTGTGCCATCATATTCTTTTCATCATATAAATAATGAAACCAAACCTAAGTATTATCAACTGATTTTTTTTATGTTCTTTTAAGTTATTCTTATTCATTATTATGGTTTATTTTTCCCATGAGTATATATATATATATATAATGAATCTGAAAAAATCAGAAAGACATTTTGAACCCTAAAGAATGTGAATAACACTCACCAATTTAGAAAATATCTAAATACACTGCTAACCACCGTAAATGCAACACCAAGAAAGACAAGAGATAGAACAACACAATTTATTTTGTAGATAACATGTTGATCAAGTATCAAATGATTAAATTTATAGACTTTTATGAAGTGTCGTTCCTGCCAGAATCAGTAGCCAGAGAAGCCGCCATTGTTGGAGATCACCGCTGCCACATGCCTCGACATTGATTCAAAGAGACTTTGGATGTGTTCTTGGGGTACAGCAGACCAAGGAGCTTCCAAACACTGCCAAAGTTGATCTGGTGAGGCAGCTGAGGGTGTAATCTGGGTCAATCAATGAGCAACCATGGACTACAGGTTTTCTATCGGTGAAAGATCCGGAGAGCGAGCCGGCCAGGGAAGCAATTCAATCTGGTGATTGACGAAGAACCTTTGGACAATGCGTGCCACGTGTGGTCGCGCATTATCCTGTTGAGATATGGCTGTGGCCAAGCCCTGAAGGTAAGGAAGGACAACTGGCTCCAACACCTCGGAGATGTAGCGCTGGCTGTTTAAAGTACCAGCAATGCGTACTAGAGGAGTGCGAGAGTGATATCCAATACTGCCTCATACCATAAATACCTGGTGCAGGACCAGTGTAGTGGTGCATAACGCAGCTGTTCAGCATCCTCTCTCCACAGTGTCTCCAGACTCGAATTCGACCATCGTGGTGTTGCAGACAGATGCGTGACTCGTCAGTAAAGACAACTTCATTCCATTCTACCGCCCACATCCTTTTTTCATTGCACCATTAGTGGTGGAGACGTCTGTGGTTCTGCGTCAAGGGTAAACCAAGCAATGGACGTCTTGCGGACAGACCACTCTGCAGTAAACGGCGTCGAATGGTATGCGCAGACACAATGTGCTGTTCTATGGTTCGTGATGTGACTGAGCGATCCGTCACTGCAATGCGCACAATTTGCCTGTCCTCACGTGAAGTGGTGCACTGAGGTGGATGTGATCGATCACGTCAGTCTGTCGTACCCTCCTGCATCCAACGGTCACATATCCGCATTACAGTTGTTTGGTTTCGTCCAACACGACTACCGATTTTCCTGAAAGATAATCTGCAATCTCGGTAGGCCACTATCCTACCTCTGTCAAACTCGGATACTTGATCAGAAGCTGATCGCTGTTTTCTACAAGACATAACTGATCGTTTTTTAAAAAACCACAAGAAAAACACAATGGCCGAACTTGAAATCGTCGAAATCTCCAAGCCTTAAATTGCACTTTGAGGTGGCGCCACAGGCGTGCGTGATGTGTGTCTGCGCTGAAATTCTAATCATTTGCATATCTCACCTCCGCTAATTCATATTGTAAATTTCCTGTTATTTGTGTGCTTCCTTCAGGGTGTTGCATTTACAGTGGCCAGCAGTGTATTACGCATT